TACTACACCAACTACAACCACACCCACTACTACCACACCAACTACTACCACTCCAACTACTACTACCACACCCACTACTACTACCACACCCACTACTACTACCACACCAACTACTACTACACCATCTACTACTACTACACCCACTACTACTTCACCAACTACTACTACACCAACTACTACCACATCCACTAATGCTACCACTACTCCTGCCGTTACTACTACTACCATGCCTGGTGTTACTACTACCACTCCAACTACTACTACCACATCCACTACTACTACCACACCCACTACTACTACACCCACTACTACTACACCCACTATTACTACCACACCCACTACTACTACACCCACTACTACTACCACTTCCACTATTACTACCACTACTCCTGCCGTTACTACTACTACTACCATGCCTGGTGTTACTACTACCACGATGACTTTTAAAGGTAAGACCGATATAATTGACGGTCGCTTTCACACGGCTATACCTCACCTCGACAGATATATATCACCGTGTCCGTGGTCGAATTTACACGTTAATAAATTATATTTCTAGTCACGCTTCATCTCAAAATATCAACTACTGTTGTTCTTCGATATATGCGTTTTTTTGTTGTTTTTTTAAATGTCAAACTTTAAGTTTTAAATATTGATTCATTTGAAGTCATCGAAGAATCACCATCGTTGTATTCACCTCCATCACTTATGTAAGCATCTAAGCATTTCTGTAGACCAAACAGGTGAATGCTGTAGACCATACAGGTGTATGTGCATGTATGTTACAATGATATTGTCTTCACATTAACTCATACCACAGCCAAACTTGGAATACCGATCACCAATACACAGCAGGATACAATGCAGGTTCTACTTTTACTAACTCGCACCTTGTGCTCAGCTCGCTTAAAAAGGTCATAGGAGTGTATTGCTAAACGGAAGTAGGAAGTACATCCCTAGTTGAAAATCCAATATAGGGAGACAGTATCACAATTTCTGCATATTCTAATGTTTAATATTAAACTGGTGAATAGTGTATGTTTATTATTGACAGAACAGTGTGTTCTTTCAATATAAAATATTTCAAAGCAATCCAGGCATTAATTCAGTTGTTTTTTAATTAATGAGTCACATGCGTTCGTTGTCCTGTACTTCAGGAAACCGGCTACCTATTTCACTACTGTGAAGTTTTTCAAGAACGATAACTCTTAACTGCAATTACTATGTGTATATGGTTTTATTATAAAATGTCCATTTTTAATCGTTTAAAGATAATTAATTTTACACAATTTCAGCATTTTTGAAATTGATATACATTAATGCAATACTTATCTATGTCAGTATCATTTTGATTGACATTATTTTGCAAAACATTGCGTGTTTCTTTTTTTTTCAAAATTCACTCATTTTTACATAGATTTCCATTTAAAATCCTTACAATTCTGACAACCTATATTTTTTTGTGGCAGAACATTTTCTTTACTTCAAAGCAATATAACTACAAAATTTGAAGAAATTTTACTGAGAAATTGCGACACAATCCAATTACCTTAAGCTTGACTTGTTTGATTTATACATATGCCTTGCTAATGGTTGACATAGAGAGTTCTGCAGTTATCTTACTCCACGTCTGTCTATATCTAAGTGTTTGTAACACAAACCAATGTGTGTTTAAAACTCACACTGTTTGGGACTGGTGTAGTCAGGTAAAATAAAATCTTCAGTGCTGATGAGATCATTTTAGCTCACCATCAACACACGGGTGGGTGGTTCAAATCGCGTTATCCGTCTTTAAAAATATATTTATCACTTTTCTCAAAAATTTCCCAAGAAAAGTTTGTAGGTTATCATTTGACCTCAGTTATACATTTTCAAGTTTGGGACTGATCACAAAAACGATATGACTGCTAAACTGCCATCTTGGAATTTGACAGTAACGTTTTTTCTATGAATCGAAACTCAATTACGGCATTTTTTCTGTTCCCTTGTTTTGCATATTTTCTTTTGAGCATAATCAAAAGAAGATGTCTGCCTAACTTTTACAGCTGCAGTCTGTTGTCGTAGTTTCTCAGAAATTTGTTAAAAGCCGATTCTAAAAGGCCAATGTCACAGCACTACGAATTTTTATACATATTACCAATGTGATGCATTTACTGATGAAATAACAATCTAATTCTAGGCTGGCTACCAGCCCTAAGTTTTTATGAAGAACTTCATGGCTGCATTTTACTACTAGCTTATCTCCCCCTAGTTTGAGAACTTAGAATCAGACATCCAAGTGATCACAATTATTAGAGTTTATTTATTTCTAAATGATTCAATATTCTATAAACGGAGCCAGTCTAACCTAAACCTACCAGGTAAGAGAAAGGAAAATATCAAATTAACAGAGAATCAGTTAAGATTTTACAATGGTGGGCGCCAAGGTCCCTCCAGGATCTTTTGTTTATCAACCTAGTATCTCAAGTCACCTATTCCGAATATGCTCATGTTTTCAATATCAACGATAAAACAGAAATAGTTTTGTTCAGTAAGCTGTAGCCATATTTCTCCACTTGTGTCAGTATTCATAGTTAATTTCCCAAATGAGCCATAAAATTATATCTAAGTACAATGCATTCTTAAGTAAGCAAATCAAGTTTTTATTTGCAATGTTAATTATTTTTCTATATATAAATTTTTCTGTGAGTGCAATCTTGCAAAATAAAATTACTCATTTTAAAGTAGTTGAAATTTTAGGATTAGAGAGCATGTCGCCAAGATTCTGCGGGTGAATTAGGAAACAGACAATTACTATCTTACTTTGCAGCATTTGTTTGATCTGTGTTCGGTAGCGGTGGAGATACTGTTACAAAGATGTGTTTATATTGTGGGTGCTTTTTGTTGTTGTTCTGATTGGAAAAAACAATCAATTATGTATTGTTGTTATGGGGAGTGGTATGTGACGTCATCCCATTGCATGTGTGTAGTAATTCCTTATATACGTCAGATTGAACCTATCATCGTTTCGCTTGAGAGATTAATCTAAAGAGATGTTAAGTTGATAATATTTATATATATACTAGTATATGCAACCGGTCATTAAAACAGTACTTCCCGATATAATTTTAATAAAAGTATCAACATTATTCTAGATATTATACATGTAGTTAATCAATTCTCAGCTCTTGGATGCTATTCAATAATATTTAAAAGACTCGAACAAGTGATATCCTATGTTATTCGCCGAGTTGTTAATGGAAACTTCTAGACACAAGGTAACCTCCAAATACTCAGGAACATGAAACTGTTAACTGTTCGGGTAATCTCTAGATATTCATATACATTTTAAGATACTTCGGTAAAGTTTACACACCTTAGTTTAGTCACAAATAAACTCTAGATATTCCAGTTTAAGCAAATATCAACTTTATTCATGTTTATTTAGTAACAAAAACACTTCAGACGCTCTGATTCAGTGACAGGTATAATCTCATTACACGAACTTGAAAGGATAAACAGTAGACACTAACCAAGTTACATGTTAACTCTAACCAAGTTACATGTTAACTCTAACCAAGTTACATGTTAACTCCCACCAAGTTACATGTTAACTCTAACCAAGTTACATGTTAACACTAATCAAGTTACATGTTAACACTAACCAAGTTACATGTTAACTCTAACCAAGTTACATGTTAACTCTAACCAAGTTACATGTTAACTCTAACCAAGTTACATGTTAACACTAACCAAGTTACATGTTAACTCCCACCAAGTTACATATAAACTCTAACCAAGTTACATGTTAACTCTAACCAAGTTACATGTTAACTCTAACCAAGTTACATGTTAACTCTAACCAAGTTACATGTTAACTCTAACCAAGTTACATGTTAACTCTAACCAAGTTACATGTTAACTCTAACCAAGTTACATGTTAACTCTAACCAAGTTACATGTTAACTCTAACCAAGTTACATGTTAACTCTAACCAAGTTACATGTTAACTCTAACCAAGTTACATGTTAACTCTAACCAAGTTACATGTTAACTCTAACCAAGTTACATGTTAACTCTAACCAAGTTACATGTTAACTCTAACCAAGTTACATGTTAACTCTAACCAAGTTACATGTTAACTCTAACCAAGTTACATGTTAACTCTAACCAAGTTACATGTTAACACTAACCAAGTTACATGTTAACTTTTCTAATACGGATACAGATAAAACTCAGGGCCCGTATTCACGAAACCGTTCTCATGCTCAAACATGTATTCTGTGCTCAAACTATTTTGTTACTCGCTTAGATCAAGTCAAACGATCAAAAAGTCAAAAGTAAACATTGAAAATAGTATTTGGCTTTAAGTCTCTTCAAAATGTTTCTCCAAATCATTGACAAAATAAGATTTATTTTTTAAGTTATAACACGAACAAAAAAATAGGATCGAGCATAGAGTCCATGCTTGAGCATGAGAACGGTTTCATGAATGCGGACCCAGATGTTTTGTAACAAGTGAACTCTATACACGTACACTCTATATAATCTATTTTTAGTAACAGGTTAACTCTAACAATGCTAGTTACAAATAAACTTGTAATGTTGTAATTTTATTGAATAGGAACTTCGGACACCCTGCTATAGTTTAAAATACATTCTAGTTAATTTACTTGAGTGACGGGTACACTCTTATCATTCTAATTAAGATAAAATATTGAAATGAGGTATTAATAAAATATTGAGCAGAATACTCTTTGAGCACGTGTCTTTCTACGAGGGAGTATATCAATTGATATGTTGACTTACAGAATGTTGGCACAAACTTTAATTGATGCTTAAGATATTATAATCTGCCAATACAATTGCATTTCGTCTGTCAAGCCTCGGCTAAATAGCGCAATTAAACTTAGTATCAGCAATACAAAGAGGTTATATCATTCTAAAACAAAAAGCTGGTACATTTCCGGCAGTAGCGGTCGGAATACATCAGTATATTTTGATTGGTTAAATTATTGCAGCAACTGCCGTCAACCCGTGTGATGAATCACCATGTACTCCACACGCGTGTGTTCGTACAAGTGACGGGAACTTCAGATGTAACTGTAATACAGGATACGAAAACGAAAACAATGGCACCGGACAATACTGTATCAGTAAGTGTATTTTACTATTTGTTCTTTTTATTAAGGAAAGGGAGCGATGGTTATTACTTCTTCGTGTTTGGTTGGGGTTGGACTTATTCCATGTGTTTAATTCGATTGATACATATAAATTGGGGTTCAAACATTGTGTCATTGAAGTTCAGATATTCCTTGTGTTAACTGGGGTTCTGACCTATCCCTTGTACATTTATGACGTGGGCTTATGCTACATAATATTATATTCCTGGTATTAAGTGATCCTTAAACATGGTCCTTATATAAAGTTTCGACGTTTTATTTGTATTCATTGAGCATTGTCTGTTATCATTACGAGTTTGTTTTACCAACATTGTTTCAAAAAATACAAAATAGTTAACATTTGATGACACACTTATAAGTATCCCAGGACCCTTTGTTATCTATTAGATAAACAGGTTATGACTTAAAAAGATCACGCCTCGGAGAAACGATATAATATTATTAGTCATTTCTTTTTTCTCTTTGACCATCAAAAGTATTGTGTATTAATCGGCGGAAATTGTAAAAATTGTGAAAATGAGGTGATTGCTTATCATCGATGGTTTGATTTTTCAGACATTAACGAATGTATCGTCAGCTCTGGATGTAAAACTGGCGGGAACTTGAACGCTGGAGTATCCTCGTGCGAAGATACGGATGGTGATTACATGTGTAACTGCATGACTGGTTACACCTCTAGTGGCGACTTGAAAACCTGTCACGGTACGCATGCGCCAAAAAAACAAATCGAAATATTATTGAGAATACAAATAAATAAGTGATACCTAAAACACACCATCTTTTTATTGCTATAGTATCCATATTTTTTTCCGTTTGGCAGATATCGACGAGTGTAGCTCTAGTTCCACCAGTGACTGCGACGCCGCAGAGAGAGCAGACTGTGTCAACAATAATGGCAGCTATACGTGTGCCTGCAAGACGGGCTACAATGGAGACGGAAGAACATGTCGAGGTATGGCATTATATTTCGGCAAATATTCGTTTGTGATTTTGAAATGATTCCTTCTCCTTTTGTTGGTCATAAGTGATTTTTAAACTTATCGTCTAACATACGTTATCTTGTGTTGATAAAGATAAGCATCGGTTTCAACTAAAATATACAATTATTTTCTATAGGGTTTATTGGTATATTGAGGTACAAAGAAAGATGAAATACGAGTTTCTCTAATTTTCCTTTATAATTTATTGTAATGATATATTCTGTTCAGTACCTTGGTGACCAGACTTGCCTAAAAATATTCCGTTAAATAACATGTTCATTCTCCTTCAAACAGACTCCATTTAAGGATTTCAGTAGATTTATGTGTGATCTAAGAAACTCAAACCATAACATTTGATAACAGTAAGAAGGAGAGAGAAAACATTTAGGCACCGTAACACCACTTTAACCTTCTCACCACTGTAGACCATAATGGACTCATCCAGACCAATGCATGGTAGAGTTTACTAAAGTTACACAGGGGTGAAAGGGTTAAACGTGATTTGCGAAAGGTAGCATGTTATACATGAACCACAATATGATAGCCTCAATATAACGCTAGCTAGTATTATGTTCATCTTGTTATATACAAAAGACAACGTGTCGGACAAATATATGTATAGTATAACATGTTGTCCTAGTTACGTACAAAACGTAGACCTTTTTTGGGACTTGTAACCTACATCGCAAAATGTTATCATAGTAACATTGCCTTCTTTTGCAGAGGAAAGACTGGTTCCGTTCCTTAACGATACGAAAATCACGGGAGCTTACTCTGATTATATATGCCTCGAGTTCGCTGTCCCGATCGGTGACTACTATCAGCCGTGCATGTATGTAAGTATAGCCACATACTAACCTGGCAACCTATATATATGTTTACATCCACTAAGGGGCGGAATAGGTAAAAATATGGCCTCTGACCACAAATACACTTCCGGGGTCGTTCAACACGAATGTAGTGCATAAGGACACTTCAGGTTAGTTACTAGGTATATATTTTTCTGTCTGATCTATGACAGATATGTACAGGGTTAGTTTTACATAGAATTGTTCAACACTATCTATTCTATTGATTATTGTTTTTGACACAGTTTTCAAGTTTGTATTGGCAGCAGGACACAATGAGTGATGAGACTTGCGCATCATTATTTGGTGATTTTTGGTATTTCCCCAATACATGCAGGGTATTGACATTCAAACTAAATTATCTTTCTCAAATGCCGGTCATACTTTCCAGTTCACTGTAGGTTCATTTTGAATAGGTCTACAATATGAAATAAGAACCAGACCCGGCGCAAAGTTTTAAAAATATTTTGATTTCTTTTTCCCTTATGGTAGCAACATATAGTAGAAGTAATGGTGGTCTGAGGCCATGTTCCCCGTCCCCTTGACTGCCGGCAGTACTTCAGTGCAATTGGGCGACATGCCTCTATGATTTTTGACAGCTGACTTTACTGATTCGGCACACTGTTGCTTAGTGTTTTGTTTTCAGCGGTTTAGAGTCGAGACGCCGGTCATTTACACTCTTTGCTTGACAATATGAAAATAGATGATTTCAAAAGCTCGCAAAATAAGTTTTCAATTTCAATTCCTGTTTTGTTTTCAAAATAAACCTAGCCTTTATTATTCATACTAAACTGATGAATCTTATACCGATTATTATCTAATGTTTGAAAATTACATAGAATTTTGAAATGACTACGACTATTAAAATAGGTTAATATCCAATCATTGATCAATCAGAGACTTAAGTGCATGACTAAAAAGTAGAAAAGTTTTGTAAGATTTCATGAATGTACGTTAGCCTCGGCAAACTGACATACTATTTAAAATATGTCGTTCAATTTACATCACTAGATTTGTTTTATTCAACATATTATTTATATATTATCATTGATTAGATAAAAATACTATATATTTACCTTGCATTACTTCTATAAACAAATTTAAATTTATTTTGAATCATATTTTGTATTAACTTTGATAATAACCCATGTTGAATTAAGTTTGTATAATATATACTTTATCTTAACTTTGGCAAATTTATCTCGGGTATACATTTATTATGAAACTATTATGTGCAGTACGTTCTCTTGTTTCTTCAGTATAAAATGTCATTTAACTCTCAAAGTTCTGTTGTCATCTTTACTCTCAGAGTTTGGTTGTCATCTTTACTCTCGAAGTTATGTTGTCATATTTACTCTCAGAGTCATGTTGTCTACATGCTTGTATTTGTCGGACTTTTCTCTCTAATAGGTGACGAAAAGTGGGCTCATCCTTTTCTCAGAGGTACATAGTGGAAACAAGAACTCGGGAATACGTAGAACTTATTCCAATCCAGCGGCAGATTTCCCTTTCTTGCAACAAAGTAATCTCCAAGAAAAGGAGGCCGTGGCGGTATACTGGGCCAATATGCAAACTGGGATCGGAAATGTACGTTCTGCTTTGGTATAAACTTAATTTAATACAAAGTTGAGACAGATACTTTTTAACTACTATTTTTCTCCTGAGATTCATACTGTTTTGCACTGCTTATCTTTTGACTCCCTTCGACACTCACATCCTTAAATGACCTTAGCTGTTAATAGGACGTTAAACAAAATATAATCAACTTTTCCACACTACAGTGCTGTATTTTCAAGTTGACTTATTCTATCAATTATGTGAATTATTTCATTTTTTTTAAATCGATGCAATAAGGAGAGAGATGTTGTCGTTTAATATTTCAACATAATTTAATAACAATTGATATAATTGGAATTTTATAAATTATAAGCAATAGTTTTCGTCATATGCTTCTTTGTTGAATATCTTATGCATAGATATACATATATACACGATTGTGAGAGATGATAGGTCAAGTGTGTAACACATTGACACGATCTATTTGATACAAAGGTAACCAACCAAGGGGTTTACTATCGGGTCTACTCCTCGTCTGTGACCAGTGAGAACGCTGTTATAGTGTCCGTAGCCGGGGATGTCCAGACTGCCCTGTCCAACTCGTTCGCAGCCAAAGCGATGGTGGTGTTTACGTGGTACAAAATGCAGTATCCAGTCACGGGAGAGGTAACACTGTGTTTGATTCAAGTTCACCAGGACATGAAATGTGTGGACTTCAACCTTCATGTTAACATAGAAAAGACTGATGTTGTTAAACCTGATCGTGGGTAGGATCAGAGATAACCGTATAACGGGTGGTAAATTTTGGTAGGATCAGAGATAACCCTTATAATGGGTGGTACATTTTGGTAGGATCAGAGATAACCCGTGTATCGGGTGGTTAATTTTGAGATGATCAGAAATAACCCTTAGTTATGATGGATGGTTAATTTTGGTAGGTTCAGAGATAACCTGTATAATGGGTGGTAAATTTTGGTATGATCAGAGATAACCTGTATAACGGGTGTTAATTTTGGTAGGATCAAAGATAACCTGTATAACGGGTGGTTAATTTTGGTAGGATCAGAGATAACCTGTATAACGGGTGTTAATTTTGGTAGGATCAAAGATAACCTGTATAACGGGTGGTTAATTTTGGTAGGATCAGAGATAACGGTATAACGGGTGTTAATTTTTGGTAGGTACTTGACTCATAAAGAATCCAGCATGGTGTAGAGTATGCTTACATGGATTATCAGTCCCAAAGGGTTGTCGTAACGTTACAGTCGGAATCTATTTGGCGCGGTTTACATGTTGGTGTAAAAGTAAGTTACCTACTGTAGCCTGAAGTTGTACATTCTATGTATATTTAATGGGTTTTCGCTGTATTCCAAATAATGTTTCGGGAAACTTTCGACATGTTTGTTTTCATTCTTTTGTTATTTGCTACTGAGGAGACCTAAATGGACGAGATGTGGTGCAGTTATCTTTAACTTGTTCGGCTTTCTGTATCAAACACAAATTGAAATAGGTGTTCCTTACTCCGAATTTCTAGTATTTCTAATAAGGGTTTTCCAATATTTTTTGTATTTGAGGATAAAACATACTATATAAAACAAAAGAAACTGATAGGGTTACCAGCACTGAAATGCTGACTATGCTTTATTTCTTTTTTTTTTACAGGAGGTTACCTTCCAGGCTATATTGATGACAGATTTTATAAATACCAACGTGTTACTAAAATACCAGGAAATGCATTGGAATATCTTAACAGGAAGCATGACTTTCTATCCGGCTACCATTGGTCTTTCCAGGAACATGGCATCGTATATGTACCCGTTCTCATTCCTTAGCATCTCAACCGACGCCAATAAAGACAAACTTGTGTTCATACAGACACCTGATTTAGTCGATCCAACGTCATCGGCACTTGGGAACCTCAACGACAATTTCTTTTATAAAATTGGGAGCAAGAAAGGACAGTTTGTCCTGAAACTCAGCGACAACAGTGGATCAACTCTTCAGAAAAGTCTGAAGTGCCACAATTGGCTTCAGACTGACTTGGCCGACATGACACACCCGCTGAATGACACCTCCGACGCGTCAACGTGTCCGTCATCTGTCTCAATGTTCCCACCGTCAACCTACTCGTTACTCGTAAATAGTAGGATCCCAAGTGGAGTGGACTGTTACGTCAATATAGCGGCTTCAGATGCATCCTCGTCGAGTCCCCAGAGTAAGAGATGTTGTTACCAAAGTAACGGAATAATTACCAATATTCAAAGTGCCAATTGTGTGAACACTTATCAAAGACATCTGGCCTCGGCCCAAGCTCTTGACGACGCCGCTTGCGATTACTGTTGTGCATCCGACATCATGTCATATACCACGCGAGAAATGTGTAACGAATTTGTGACTAGACGACCCATTGGTACTTCAGCTAGCTATGCAAATGGAGCAAACGGTAGGTACTTCGCAGCACTAACTTACTATAAAGTTGAAGATGTTTGGTATGACCCTGGCCAGAATCCTGGAGTATTACCTCACTCTAAAATTTAACATGTTTGGTATGCCTCTGCAAGAATATCCCAAGCTGTATAGGAATGAGTATCTGCTATAGACCAAATGATACCAAGCTTATTTGAGCAATAACAAACTAATGGGTTCGGTTTTAGTGAATTGTTCTTATGTCGACTTAAAATACTGTGCTATACTTTTGTATATTTAAAATAAAATACAACAGCCTTTTAAAATGAAAATGATAAAAATATATTTTTAACTTAGGAATCAACATTTTTAATCAGATTATTAAGTAACATGCTTTAGAATACATGGCAACCAATATTAGCTAACGTAAAGAGCTGGTAGTTATTGACCACCTAATGATCAATAGCTTTCACGTGAAATTGTCCATATTTTAGAAGACATGCTTTCGTAGTGATAAAATACATTTTATAATGTGCTTAATTTCACATTTTTTCTTTTAGATCTACCTGGATGTTGAATTTAAAAATGTCAAACTAAGTTGATAGATATATCATTAAATATTTTCATTGTATTCGTGTCTTTCCTTAGCTGCCTGTCGCGGTGACCCTCATTTTTCGTCTTTGGATGGTGTGCCTTTCACGTTCAATGGCAGAGGTGACTTCATTATGCTCAATTCCACAACGTTTAGATTCCTAGCACGGTTGGACGCTTACGTTAAGGATGGGATTGAACAAGTCGCCACCATTTTGAGAGCACTCATTGCTAAGCAAGTAACTCCAGCTAGTGATACTGTGGAGTTTCGTCTGAACGACACCACGGCTGCCTTGGGTAAGTATATACGTTCACATGTACGATACACAACAAACGCACAACACACTCGGTCAAGGAACTATAGCCGAAAAATAGAACCCAGCTTTTAAGATACAAATGATCGTTAAGAAAAACTGACTAAAACACGTAAAGAAACGCCAAAGCATTGAACCAAAACGTTCAGACACGTGACTGCTGTAGGCATTTAATAGGTAAAGTGACACGTGATCTCCAAATCAAGTTTTAATTGAGATATAGGCCGATGGTAACTATGGAGACAAGTGGTCTACAAAGAAAAGTCTTACTGTTAGGGTGATTCGATGGTAGCTAGACTAGTTTGATATACCTTTACACCTGATTTTATTCTCCTTGAATATATTGTCAGGGTCTTCATGTTCATATTTTGCCCTAGTTTTATCGATTTTGATTTCGTATTATGGTTTTGTTGGCACTTCGGTATTCTCTTGTGTTTTAGACAGCTGTGGTAGCTTTAGAGAGGTTGTCTCTTGGACAAGTCCAATTGCAAATAAAGATCAATACTAGTTATGGAGATAACCGGCTTTTTAGCAAAGTTAAATGTACAAATATTTTTTTTAATCGAAAGAACAAAAGTTTAAAGCCTGTTTTTTCAGCCCTCTGTCTTGTAACGTTTGCAATGACAAAACACATTTTAATCTTAGCATGACAACACGTTAAGTTCTTTTCTTTATTACCTCATAGAACAAGATTCATCGGCATTCATAAAGCTTTTGATTTGTTTTTACAGAAATCAGTCGCAATGGTGTGCTAACGGAAGTGACGTCTACGAGCTTCTGGACGGAAGTAACTATTACCATGCCAACAACCTTGGATTCCGCAAACAACACTGTAACGACGTACTACATGGCCTTTAGTTCTGGTGCGGTGATTGGAGCGAGTGTCAGTAATGGACTGATACAGCTCTCTGTTAATGGCCCCTCGACAATGAAGGGCACTTTCGAAGGTCAGTTCGAATCATTTAGAAATATACTATATCGTTCTCTGCTACAACCACAAGCGGCGTAGTAAATATTGTTTCTCGGTGTATACTTTTAGCCAACATGTGTTGTCCAATTTCACATCTGAGATTTAACCCTCCCATTTTTGACGCTTTCTTTAATTTTGCGCGGCAGGGTGGGGGGGGGGGGGGGGGGGGGGGGGTGCTTCTTAGTTGCTATTAGAAACCACATCTCATGTTCTAATGACCCTGTTTTTTGGTTTTTGTCTAATTAAGACAGCGCAGTTTACACTTTATCTGATTATAAACACATATTGTCATTGGCTTTTTTCCCGAAATGAATTGTCTTTATATTTGTACAGACTTATCATTGTATTCTCAATGCCACACTCTCGATCAGTATCAGAAAAGTTTTGTCCCAATGGAAGAGGTTGTTATATTCGATCCAGAAATGTTTATTACATTTTTAATTGTATAACCATACTTATCCGAAAAATCTGGAGTACCTTTAGGATACTCTCCTGAGTCAGTGGCGGATCCAGAGGGGTTTTTTGGGCTTCAGGAAACCCCCCAACCCTGAGAATTTTCATGTATTTTCACCATTTTCCTTAAATTTTCCCCACATGGAACCCCCCCCAGGAAATTTGGAACCCCCGCCAGAAAAGTCTCTGGATCCGCCACTGTGAGTGCAGCATGGCAAAATATCATGTATAATTGCCATTATGTACATTGACCGTATTCAGCTTTCTATTTTGTGTTGACATACTATAACGATGACCATGGTTACCACACTTCTGAGAGAGAAAATTACAACCTTAATCTGAATTAGCCACACAAACACTAAACCAAAGGACCGAATCATAGTTGCATCATGGTTTAATTATGTCGATTAATAACGTTTAAGGCTCATTCCCAAACAATGTGAAATTGAGATATAATGGTACTCGTTGTAAAGACAACAATGTATGATCTTAGAGATCAAAACAGACGTAAATTGCCCTACAAAAGCGTTTAAAAAAACAATGATAAATTACAGACATTAACGACAATTGTATTGCTTTGATCGTTTTAAAATAACGAGAACATTTTATCTTAAACTGTGTATTGATGTAGTTTGTCCTATTAACTAGTGATATATCCTGTAGCTATCTACATGTGTGATTGGTTCGCTGCATGTAAACATCATTGTTTGATCTTGCATGTTTCAGGTGTGTTGGGCAATTTCAATGACAACCAAGAAGACGATTTCGCAGACCCGGCCGGAAACGTTTTATCTGGAGGCTCATCCGCTACCGAGGAGCAGATCTACGATACCTTGATTCATTGTAAGTTCTGTTGTTAAATGTGCTTTTATTTTTAAACTTTTTTATATATACAGTTTAAAACATGAAAACAACCTTAAAATTCTCAATAAATGTTTTACTTAGACACAAAGAGAGAATTTGTACTACCAAACACCTTCTGCTTGCATGCAAATTACATGGACGCTCCATCACCATGTTGTTTTCGTGAGTGTGGCATTCTATTTTGGTCACTTTCAACCGTGGACGTTAATCACGTGATAACCTGGTAGACTAAAATAAAAAATGTGTTGTTGAATAATAGGTATTTTCAAGACACATCATGTTTGAAATAAATATAGAACGCCTCAGAACATCAACCTTTCGCGCTGTATTTAGATTTGTGGTTTCTGAGGCTACAACGGAAGCGCAAATATTAGTACACACGAGGTGTATATATGTTTACCGAGTTCACACATAGCAGTGGGCAAAGAAATTTAAATCAGAAATGCAATAAAAGGGAGAACCCTCGAATCTGTCAAACTGTACCATATGTCTATCTTTGGTGTCCTCTTTACACAGGGTCTACTGCGAACGTAAACTGGACGCTGTTCACCGACGCCAACGGAAATCCTGAGTTCATTACCGTCAACTCTTCCATACGCCCTATGTTCTTTGTATCAAACCTGACCGTCATGTTTCCTAATGATACTGAACGAAGTCTCGCGATCAGCACGTGCTATGGTCTAGGGCCAGAGGACCCCGATCCAACTCAGCGTAAAGAATGCTACTTTGACTTCAAAGTAACAGGAGATTCAAGTCTAGCACAGGCTACTTCTGCAGCTAAAGCCGAAACTGAAAGCAATCGAGCAAACCTTGGTTTGTATATTTCATAATTGTCTTGTTTTGCAGAGAGTTTGTTGCAATTTCATTTTCTTTATCAGTAAAACCTGGTAAACGATTAAATAATAAAAAAAAAGGTTGAACTTCATTTATTGGTTTTACAATCTGACTTATATTATTCAACCTATAGAATCAATAGAGTTCAGAGAGCAGTCAACGTAACCAGATGATACTGATAATACTGGGTACGAATCTGTTTGACCTCCACATATCATGTGGCTTTAATGAACCAATCAGTGTAAAACTGTACTAAAGATGTCTGCGTGTATGCACCCTAGATATTGTACATGATAACAGACCAATTAGGCGGTGTAGGTGGAACTGGTATGAACATAGAGCGTATTGATTAAGGGTAACGATTGTGGGTCAATGTACTTAGCTGAACTATCCTTGTATGTTTTACTAGTGGGTAATTTGAAGGGAAAGTATTTGGTCATTCTGTGATTTGTTTTGAGCACATATCATACAAAACCATGTACAGTCACGAAGCACCGGAAGTGGACAAAGTGTTTACATATCAAGCCCTTCGTCGCTTCGCGCCGCTTAGGGGTTTGGAAATAAAATGTATTATAAACCCAGAAACAAAGCAATTTACTTTCAAATATTCGAGGTTTAATATTTTTACTGCCAAAGTTTTGCTGTTCAGTAGAGATGTCTTGAATTGTAAACTTAATTAAACTTTTAATTTTGTTTAGAAAACTTCCCTCCAGTCGCATCCACGGAAAACGTCACACTGCACGTGACGATCAACACTAATTACTCCAGTTTGTACACCTTGATGGCTACGGACGCCAATAATGATTCTATAAGCTTCGCCATTGATCCTTTAAAGACCTCCAGTGGAGTCGCCATAGACAACGTGACCGGTGTCATCTCCTGGTATAACATACCGGATACGAGTCTCAGCATCACCGTCATCATTTCGGATGGGAAGACGTCGTCGGTCTGGACCCCGACTATATATCTGTGCAAATGCGTTGGGGTTTGTACTTTTTATGTTGCTGAATGATAACCCTCGTACATAAATGAAAAAGGAATAATAATTTAGTAAATATATCTTTGAAATATAAACATAAAGAATTGATTCAAATATGAATTCTATATATAAAAAAAAATTGAAAAAAACCACGAGGACAATAACATCAGATAACTCGTTAACATTTAGGATAGAAGATCAATAACCGTGATGATAAAAAATGAAGAATAATCAATACCGCAATATAAGAAACACATATAGAGAAAATGGGTAGGAAATTGCAGTGATAAGTCATGAAATGTGACAGAGAAGATAGGAAGACTTAAGGGTTATATTAAAGACAGCATTGGAGATTGCACCCGAAATCATATTTTGTTGCATAATAGATTGTTGCATTGACAAGTCAATATGTGTGTTTTGCAGACCGGCACGACTTGTGACTTTGCAAATAGCGGTTCTGGACTTTTTGAGATCGTCCCATGTATTTGTGGACCAGGACTAGAGGGGACTTTCTGTGAAACCGACATAGATGGATGCGCTGGCCAATACTGTTTCCATGGTGTCCTATGTACAGACATAGCGGCAGCTGAGGTAGCAGCCGCTGGAGCAGAGGCAACGTGTGCGGCATGCCCTTTCGGTTTGACAGGGGATGGCAGAACTTGTACAGGTACAGGACATGTTAATACGTGTACTGATGGCACGGTAGGTAGAGCAGAGACTGCTCTGTAAGATCCATAATGAAATGAAGTGCAATGCTATATAAGGCTATAAAACAACAATGGAGATATAGTTTTCGTGATAAATATAATTTCAAGGATTCTGATTCCGATTAAGTATTATACTTAATTGGCTCCTCAAACTCAAGATAGTATTTTTGTTTCCCTTTTCTTTATTGAATAGTTTTAATATTCTTCACTGCTGTGAAAATAACACTCTTTTTCATAAATTATGCCTGATACTTTACCGGTAAAAATTGTTATACTAAGGACGCGATGCATTTTTATCCTTTCAGAGAAATAAACTTTCGCGCTTTCGAGTATAAAATTATAAATTTTGAACCGTTGGAAGACTAGAGTTTTTCATTTTTATTTGAAAACTGATCGAGTGAATTTCTCAATCAAACATCCTACACATTAGATGCAATTTGACACTAGGAGATAGAACCTCTTTATCATCAAATATAATGCTGTACTATGTATCTATCGTCTTATATGTCACCTTTTCGCCACAATGTCTACAAATCAACGCATGGGATAAATACAACATGAGGTAGTTCTGTATTTTTTCTTTAGTAACAAAAAAAATACTCTTCAGTGACTTGTAACAATACGTTATTGAAGTAAACATATTTATCAAACAAACAGGAAGAAATGCATGGCTAGAAAGGTAACACAATTGTAATAATCCATAGTTTTAGTTATTGTGGAATTCGAATCATTTGATGCTCTTACAGATACAAAAATCCGAACGATGTTAAAAAATGGATTATGTTCCTCTTAGTCTTGATTTTAGCGCGAAAAAAAAAAGTTAAGTTGTTGAAGCCTATTTTCGCCCTTGTTTAGATAAAGGCGTAAGATACATTGTAGCTTTTTTCAGAAAAAAGATGTAATTTGTTACGTCGTTTTAAAATTTTACAGAAGTAAACGAGTGCTTGGTATATACGCCATGTGACCACAACTGTCAGGACCTGGTCGGTGGATATTCATGCTCTTGTAATGCTGGCTTCGACCTACAGGCCGACCTCAGATCCTGTGTGGGTAAGTCAAGAAAAATATATTATTATTATAAATATCATATTGTCAAAATAAAAGACATTCAAAGTAACAACGGCAAACAATAATAGAAACTCGAGTTGAACAAGAGTAAATCCGTCATATTCGACTTCGCCATCTATTCCATTTACAGTTTCATGTAACTTTAGCTATCACCGTTTAGTCTTACCTAAATAGAAATCTTTTCCTTTATTATACTGAATATAGTGTATTTTCGATGTTATTGTTAGGTTAATCTATACTGCTTAGGCGGTAAACATTAACCTGGGTAATATGATTAAATGGTCTGATTGGGTATTACAGATTCTGACGAGTGTCTCAAGGGTACGGATCTGTGTAATACGGCAAACACCCAGTGTAGAAACACCAATGGGACGTACGCCTGTGACTGCCTGTCTGGTTACGCCTACAAGTCCTTCCTAGAATGTCAGGGTAAGTCCATCACCACAAAAACGACATCCACAGCACAGCAACGACAACAAAACGACATCCACAGCACCACAACGACATCAAAACGACACACACAACACCAAAACGACATCCACAGCACCACAACGACATCAAACGACATCCACAACACCACAATGACATCAAAACGACATCGACAGCGCTCTGAATTCTATATGATATATTTCACATTGGGTATTTGTTTTAAATTGTTAGATTAACTTAAAGATAAAATTTCGCATGACTTAAGTTCCGTTTTAATGTGCAATGCGTAGTATATTCAATCATCAACCCATTGTGTGTTTATTAAAAGGATATGCAGTTGTCGATCTCTTTTCGCAAATGCTTTAGATTTAAATAATATATTTACTGCAGATTTAATAATATGTGTCGAATTGTTGTTTCCAATAGTTGATAAATATTTGAAGTTATTTTAAATTATATATATGATATACATTTACAGATATCAACGAGTGTATCACAGGGGCGTTTACCTGTCCGAACAACTCACGTTGTTCCAACACCGTCGGGGGGTACACCTGCGACTGTAACTTTGGTTACGAAAGGGATGAACAGTTGAACACGTGCATAGGTGAGTAATATAAGAGGGAAACTTTGTTTAACATATTAGAACGTAAGACAAGAACTGATATTGAATTGTATTAAAATTATAATCTAATCAATATGCCATGAAGAAGATGTACATATTCATTTTTATTATGATCAGCGAGACGATTAATTTTAATCCTACACGTTTTCATACAACAATACACGCGTTAATGTTAAGATATTGATGAATGAATTTGCGGATGAATTTCCCCTTAGATCACCACTTTTTACCATCGGTTTAGTAATGGATTTCTCGTTCTAAATTTACAAAATTATCAACGGCATCATGTATTGTAATATGGTATGATTTTTCAAAGCACTTATCACTGAAATATTTTACTTTATTTCTAGAAATTAACGAATGCCTTCAGAAAAATACCTGTGAGCAGAAGTGTGTGGATGGTGTTGGTATATACACATGTGAATGTTTGCCAGGCTTTGTTCTGGACGCAGATGCGCGCACCTGTAATGGTAAGTCATTTTTCAGGAATAATAACATTTTACCTTTGCCAAATTTGTGATTATTATGTATATGCTTCAAGTTATTTAAGAGTTAAAAATTGTCAAAATCATTCTGTTGCTTCCGTGCTTGCGTCCAACCATGCGGACGTCATCAAGGCGGTATGTCGTGTTTGATGCATTTGGTGTTCATATATAAACCGTATCGATCTACATTCGACATCCAAACAAAGATTATATCAATATACATTAAATGATCATATACATGTATCTACACAATCAGCTGACAGTATAAAGTCTTGTTTTAGCTAACGGAACCTGTACTGCCGGCGAGATCCAGGCTTGTGATGGTGGCAGCAGTCAGTCCAAGTGTTCCCCGGATCCAGTCAATGGCGGTACCACATGTGCCTGTCCTAGTGGATTCGCGCTGAATAGCTCGAACTTTTGCGAAGGTAATTATAGAAATATCACCATGAGGTATGTTAATAAAGGACAAACCGCAAAAGTTTAAGGGAAATGTTTGTAATCTCTGTCAGTATTACGAATCATTTTCAATAAAAAGAAATGCAGTGGGTTTTTTTTTAAATATCCGACATATCATATATGCATGTTTAATAACATATTAATTACAGCGACATTCTCGTGTGATTTAACAAACATTATGTTAATTTCTATAGATATCAACGAATGCCTGTCTAGCTCAGGGGTGTGTGATGCCGTGTCGAGCACGTGTAACAACACAGAGGGTGGTTATGTGTGTGACTGTAAAACTGGCTTCTCGCCAGTCTCAGACACGTGCACAGGTAAGCAGCTCGGTTAAATAGCTATACGAATGATGGACAAGCCGGTTTACAAAACAAATCTTGTTTAACTTTTAAGCACTGATACGTGTTTCGCAAGACTAATACGTGTTTCGCAAGAACGACAATAATGGCAATACACCTTAGAGAAAAGTTTATTTAAGATGTGTGAAATTAATTTGAACATTTTAACTCGTAAAAGATTTTAATGATAACAACATTGCATTAGCTACTGGAAACATGACGTAATAGATATGTTGATAGAAATGGAAGGGAACTGTCAACCCATCTCATTATGCTTACCAATGCAGTAATTTTAATGTATTTTATATAAACGTTTGTTTTTATTAAAGTGTCGCTCTCATCAAGAATTAGTAGATTGCCATATCTCTTCGTGGTTTAAAATTGTTGATGAACAATGGTGCTCAAATTACTCAGTCAGCTGTTAAAGTCTGTTTTCCATATACGTTTCTCGAAATTTCCTGTTTAGAAAGAAAATATTTCAACCCAACAGCTCTCAGCATAATATGCGTATAATTTGCAATCGCCATAGATATGAATATCTTGTAAAACGTTCAGTAATATGTGTTTTGCATTACCTCCTCAGACATAAACGAGTGTACGGGTGGAACACATACCTGTAATGCCCCCGGTTACTGCATCAACATCGCAGGATCATTCGGGTGTAAATGTCCAGATGGCATGTTCTTATTAGCGGACGGAAGGACCTGTCAGAGTAAGTATTTATATATAAATATTTCTGGTTACATATTGAAGAAATGTAAAAAGGGAAATGTATAAGACATTCAAATTGGGCTCTTAACAGATATTTGGCGAGATTTGTGACAAACAGAACGAGGAACGTTATATGGAGTGTTTGCTGTATGAATGTCGGTTAAATTATGTTATCGTGTTTGAGCAACATAAGAGTGTATCAAATACATCGGGAGGCAAACAGTTCTTATAGGAGAACTTTTAATACGTATATAGTATATACCATATTGATTCAGAATGTCAAGCGGCATCAAGGTTGAGGTAAGAAAGTGTGATATAACGGATCGTACGTTGGATTTGATTTCCTATGCTAACGAAGGTGTTGTTTATTAAATGAAATTTCTGTATGTTACAGATATTGACGAATGTACGCTTGGTACAGACAATTGTGACTCAGAGAAAGGTGTATGTACGGACCAGACACCCGGATACTCCTGTACATGTGCGTCTGGATACACGGGCGACGGATTTACCTGTGTCGGTACGTTTGTTGGGGTGTATGGTTCAACACGTGCATTACTATTTCCTGTACGTGTTTTGTTTATGTGTGTGTTATGCAGGTGCGTTACCTGTGCAGGGTTTACCTGTGTTGGTGAGTTTGTTTGTCTCAGTGTCGGATTTACCTGCTCCAGTCCTTTTGTTTATAAATGGATTTGTGCATGCGTTACCCGTGCCATTTGTCGACAGAGCCTAACAATCAATTCACCAATTACCTAAAGAGCAAAAAGACAGCTTAAATTTACAAACAAAATAATCTTGTAACTTTATTTCTCTAAAGATATTTACTTTATAATATTGTAATACACAATGTTCTTTTCAAATGCACGTTAAATAATATATCGCTTACCTATACTTAGGAAAATGCTGTTTTGTGTTTGATCAGATTATAACGAATGCGCCCAGTCAAACAAAGGAGGCTGCTCTCAGCGCTGTATGAACAGTATCGGAGCCCATTCATGTAGCTGTTTCGATGGATACACGTTGGCAAATGATGGAACGACATGTGAAGGTATAGAAGCTTTATTTCTAACCGTAAAATCTATAGAACGACATGTGTAGTTGTTGAAGCTTTATTTTTAACCGTAAAATCTATAGAACGACATGTGAAGGTATTTCAGTTTTGCTTGTAGCCATTAAAACTATGCAATGTTACATTTAATAGCGTGTATATATGTTTTGTATGTTGCCTATTGGCTGTTATTTGAAGAGTATTCTGCTTTTAAGTATCTTAACACTTATACATAAATGAGTGACAAACCACTTTAACACGACTTATATATATTGTAGACATCAACGAGTGTCAGGCTGCTGGTGGACATGACTGCTTCAGCGTAGATTACTGCACAAATAATAACGGTAGTTTCGCTTGTAGCTGTCCGACTAACTTCACTCTAAAAGGCGATGGCAGAACCTGTGAACGTAAGTATATACGACATTTACGGTAATGGTAGAATGTGTGAATCTTAGTATCTGTCTGTTGAATAAAACTTCATGGCAAAAGTTGTAAAGGTTAGTAAACAAGAGACATTTAAGTTGATTACAGAACCTTTGACAAAAAGGGCCGATATCCAAATCATTTTCGCATTATAGAAGTGTAGCGAAAAATAATTGGCATTTAGGTTGATTACAGAACCTGTAACTGATATGACCTATATCCATATTTTACGAATGTTTGAACTGTAGAAAATGTGGAGCAATATAAAGAAAAAGACACCTTATGCTATTTTCGACAATGGACGCATTTTAAATCCCATTTGACAGACGCATGTACTTAAATAAGCAGTGTCGTGATGTACATTATTAAATCCTTTTCTGTTATCCGTACTTGTTTGAGATCCTCTATTTACTTTGAAAACTTCTATATATTGTCAATGAAACATTAGATCAAGCGGTATGTTTAAGTCCTTGTCGTAAAACCTTTGAATTCTATAATTTCCAATACAGCTCTGTACCAGTGCAGTGATAACCACGGGTGTAGTTACCGCTGCGGTATGATTAACAGTGTAGAGACGTGTCTTTGTGAGGCCGGGTATCAGCTGGACGCCGCAACCAACAAGATATGTGAAGGTATGCTATACTACAGTCGTAAGTCGGAAAAGAATCAAAGTAACTGGACATACTCTCTGCCATGCCCGCTGTGCCGATCAGGAAAATGTCTTTCCGAAATATTTACACAAGTAGTATATCTGATAACTTACAATAACCCACATGATTAGTTTTGCTTCTAATAAACCTATCATTTGATATTGATAAATTTTGTTTTTCCCTGTTTAAAATATTGAAACCGCCATGATATCACTGCAAAATAATCAATGTTTGTGGTATGATATGAATTCACGTTCTGGGCCAGCCATGACTCTGCTGTGTTATCTTTTGATGTCGTTTATGAAACGGTCGATTTATATTAAGTAAAATAGATTTGTTTTTAGGTAAAAAGTAAAATAAGTTTAGAAATTAATTTTAAAGATTGCTTTCTTATCTTTTCAAAGTTATGCGGGAATTATCCTAAAATCTATGGGCGGACTTTTTCTATCATACAGTGTTATACAAAGATGCACAGCAATCTTTACGTAATGTATCAGAGAATGGGAACCTTGCCGTTGTTAATGTGCTTTTTACTCCCTAGCAACTATTAGTGCAATCAGGTAATTTTGTATTTAGGACAATCAAGATAACAAAAATTATAACATTCAACACGATATAGATTTCATATGTATAAAACATTTACATCTCGAAAATCATTCAAATTATTATTGTAGATATCAACGAATGTTCCAACTCGTCCCTGCACAGCTGTGAGTTAAGTAACAACGTCAGGTGTAATAATCTTAATGGATCTTTCGAGTGTATATGTGTCAACTCATCATACAGCCAAGTGGAAAGAGGAAGATGTGAAGGTAGGTTCAACAACAGTCATATATAATACAATATTCACGGGTATAAAACAAATTACAGGTATCACAACATTAAAGGTGCAACAACAGTCATATATAATACAATAGTCACAGGTATAAAACAAATTACAGGTATCACAACATTATAGGTGCCATAACAGTCATATATAATACAATAGTCACAGGTATAAAACAAATTACAGGTATCACAACATTATAGGTGCAACAACAGTCATATATAATACAATAGTCACGGGTATTAAACAAATTACAGGTATCACAACATTACAGGTGCAACAACAGCCATATGTAATACAAAAGTCACAGGTATTAAAACAATTACAGGTATCATAACAAGCACAGAATTCACAACAAGCATAGGCATAACAAGAAGGGTATCACCATAATAATAAGTTTGATAATCGTTGTGAGTCTTTAAACTAGTGTTTTTGGTGATGAAGACTACACTCCGCTAATGGAAACTAAAGCTTTGCAAAACATCGTTTTGGAAAGAAAACATCTTTTTAATGGTGTTAAACATTTTTTATACTTCAGATGTTGATGAGTGTTTGGCCCAGACGTTCACATGTGGCGCCAACAGTAAATGTGTGAATGCGGAACCAGAATACGCCTGCACATGCCTAGTCGGATATGCAGATATCGGAGGCACATGTCAAGGTAAGGGATGAGAAAATATGGATAGTGATAAATTGGTTTTCCGTTTCCTTAGTAAATATTACAGAGAGTATCCATGTAAAATGTTCCATCTCTGTGATTTAAACTGAGTGCATGTAGAAGCTTTTTAATTAGGATTAGGCCTATAGTTACTCTGTTATATATATATATCTTTATTATCTTATTCGTGTGTAATATAAAGAGCCTTACGTGTATCTACTATCCCACATAATTTTATTTTGAACTAGAGCTCTTCTTGAAGTTGCATTTCACTTACATTATATAAATCCATAGTATTTAAAAGGCTTAAGTTTTGACGGAATATTTTCGCAAAGGCTGTACGTTTTGGAAATTTTAAGACATAAATGTTTCCACATAATCTTGCTTCTTATTCGATTCGAACAGCTATGGCGACAGGTTCACTTCCGGTTAGATGTAATATGTGTTAGGCAGCACACCATTTACGTCCCAACTCTATATGTTCGAGAAACTATATTATTTTAGTTGAAATATTGATCAATAACATTATGTTTCTATTAACTGTAGACCTGGACGAGTGTCAGCTAGGAACAGACAACTGTAACGGTACCACAGGTGACTGTACTAACATACCCGGAGGATTCACGTGCGCCTGTAAAACCGGCTACTCAGGCAATGGTATCATTTGTTCAGGTGAGATGAATATAACAAATCAATTCTTTTCCTTGAATAACATTTGCTATCTTATTAAGGATTATGTGATCTTTTAAGGTTGTTCCGACAATATTTTGCTATAGGAAATAATTATATATTTTTTCCTGTATCGAAGTAGTTCTGAACGTCATACGATGAGATGTAGAGTCAGCATGCCTTCCAAATCGTCTAAACACACATGAATGTTACCTGTAGATAAGCACACCTGAATGTTACCTGTAGAGATTGTTGTTTTTACTTACAGATATTAACGAGTGTCTGTTGGGTACCGACAGCTGTGATCCCCGTAGTAGTCGTGGCTCCTGTACTAACACAGTCGGGTCCTATAACTGTAACTGTACCAGCGGATACCTGCTGGCTTCAAATGGTTACACCTGTATCGGTAAGATGGTGTCTTCATTAAACAATTTCATTAACTTTGAAATAAACATTAAAATTATGCATTTGCATATTTCCATCAATATGATTAAACGAAGCCCTTTAAAGGTTCGTAGGCTACAAAATAACTGATTAACAAGGTTTGTTAACAACAAGTTATTCTATATCATAACCCATAAATACTACTTGTGAAATATATAAGAAGACCCCCTATTGAAAAGACGTTTCGCGTTTAGGATGACCGATGTTTGTCTTTGGTTGAGGAAGATATGAAAATATTTCCATATGTTGGGAAGTTCACCTGTCTCCATGTATATAGCACGTCTGGTGTATTTCGTTTGTTGTTTTTAAGTATCATTCTTTAAGAATGATTTGAGTATCCATCCATTTAGCTGTCAATTTCATGTGAATTTGTCTCGGAATTATATGTGTCAAGTGTTTGTTGTTCTTTGTACTTACAGACGTGGACGAATGTACTCTGAACACGGATAATTGTGACTTTAAATGTAATAACATAGATGGGGGTTACTACTGTACGTGTGACACCGGATACCGACTTGCTTTGGATCAGTCTTCGTGCATTGGTAAGTAATAAGGCTAGTTACTACACATGTACATATACATAGCCGAGACAGAGTCCCTTCCTATTCAGTATTTAGATGGAGCCAACCCTCTATTTGGCACCGTCAATAAGAAGAAAAATGCAGATATGTTGATTAATAAGAAGGTTAGATATATACATGCTTAATTGTATAATACATGGTCCTCAATTAGAATGTGTACTGTAATCGGTTATGGGATAGACGGTACTCGGTAATGATATATTTTGTACTCAGAAATAAAATATGCGGTTCTCGATACTGAGAATCCATGGCTGATTGATTTTATATTTAGCAAAACTCCAACAAAGAGATAGTTGATTTGCTACTAAATACGTTGTAGTTGAGAAAGCCTGCACCAACACTACATTTGCCGGAACCTGTGGCTATCAGTGTGCCAAAATAAACGGCACGGACACCTGTACTTGTGCAATCGGATATGAACTGACATCAGATGGCAAGACATGTACAGGTATTGTTTTAATATCTATGTATATTTTAAAAAGGCACAAATGTTTAATTAAACGACAGTTGAAGGTTTAATACCGATCACATGTTTATTAGTTCCCTCGCGTACTACCTGGGGAAACAATAGGTTGCACTTCGACTTCCGTTAGAGCGTCAATTTTTCCGTTGCATATCTCAATAGGCTATAACACGAGCAGACACTATTGACTATTGGAATATAATTTATAGCATATGCAGTTTGAGTAATAATTTAGGCAAGTAAACGATAATATATTACATATGCAATGGCGTGACATTTTCAGTATATGGTAAAAACGATATCATGTGTCATTTCAGACGTTGATGAGTGTGCGACGTTGTCCCCGTGTGACAGTAACAATGGCGCATGTAACAACACACAGGGGTCCTACACGTGCAACTGTATCAACCAATACACGCTGGGACCAGGAAACACGTGCACAGGTACGATACCATCTCGGTAAAACAATTGAAGATTTTGTTAACATTGTACTTATTTGTATTGGGTTCACCTCAATAAATATAATTAGATATACGAAGAAAGGACTGACCATTTTGGCAATTATGTTTGTAAATCAATTTTATGATTCTAAGTTCAGGTCAATGTTTATCCCTTGATCCAATCATACGCCTTTTGTAACAATGAAATGTTGAAATAATATGAAAGTTGTTTTTTTGCAATATGATAAAATATTAGTATATTAAATGTAATTATACAAAGGAAAGAAATCCATAATCCTTCCAATGATTGATGCTTTGCTTTGTTTAGATCGCGACGGAATGTGGACAGAATGGGGTAATTGGTCAACATGTTCTGTGGACTGTGGACCAGGAACTCAGACAAAAACTCGTAACTGTACAAATCCGACACGTGAAGGATTTGGTGCGGACTGCGCAGCACCCGGAAGTGAGACAATGTCATGTGACACACCCTGTTACCGTACGTATATATATAAAAAATGCCTTTCATTTTTATATTTTTTTTATTATTCATCGTAGAAAATTTTCATTTGGTAAATTGATTTTTTTTTTTTACACATGAAAATTGCATGCGTCTTGTTTTCTCGCTCCTATAAAGAATCGATAAAAAATCCTGATAAGAAACAAAAGATAGGAATAATAGGAAGTGAAGTGAAAATCCAAGTGATATATAGTGACGATATTAACTAAGTATCTATATTTTGTGTTTCTAATCAAATTTCCGGTATTAATTGACATATTTTCGTATTTCTATAGCAAATGCAGTGGAACAGACCAATGGTGTAGTGGTGAACTTCAATGGTGTAACTGTCGCTCAGGTAGGTTATATAACGCCTGTACTCCCAATGTGTTAACTAAACCAAACCATCGCCCTAGAATAGCCAAACATTGAATGAATGAGGCACCCTCATAAGCAACCAAACATATTAGTTGTATTCGGAGTGCCACAACGCTGTGTCAATTAAATATTGGTTATCATATATAAACAAATATTAATTTATATTGTTTCAGGTAAACGTAGAACAGACAAATTGTACACAAAACACTCGCTATACCTTGGTCACGCGACACGTGCACAACATGTGCGTTGCTATTTCCTATACGATAATTACCTGACATAACCTAATATCCTAAAACATCACGAGTTGTGACCAAACGAGAAACTCCCTCCCGGTCCTGGGTCGAAATAATAGCACTTGACCGACTTGACCAAGCATACATCTTCTTTTACCCATCATGGCTGATACAATCTGTAGAAGTAGCCTTTTTTAAGTACACGGGTAAGCTATATCGTTGTCAAAGAGACATTTCATTAAAACGTTACTCTTCTTCTTATTTCAGTTAGGCGCCATTACGTCTTCTTTCAAGCAGACAATAGCCGATACCCTGGGTACATTCTGCAACTACAACACGTCAAATGTCCAGCTGTGCTGCAATACTACAAAGAACTACACGTAAGTGTACATATCTCTAAATGATAATTGAACTATCGATGAAATTTTACTGCAGCCTTACACATTTGTAACTGCTTTCTTACAGTTTTTCAGTATTGTTAACATTTAGTTTCTCCTTACACAGCCGTTGATAACAATTTACGGCTATATTGTATTTTCAATATGATTCATCAGTTTGGAAATATGTTATATAAAATATTTACTTTATACACAAACAATGTACGTATCACACGTTCAATAGTACATTGTTTTGTGTATAAAGTAAAATTACATTACAGCTACATTGTATTTTGCAAACTTGTTTTACACTGAATTGCTACATTACAACATTGATGTAAACCTTCCCTGCTACATTGCACAGTTGAATTACTGCTACCTTAGACAGTTGCATATTTGTTATTAACATTTTACTGCTACCTTCAATAGTTCTTTGAGTATTAACATACATGAGGTGCAGGAAACACATCAGATTTGTTTTTCGACGCTGCTATAATTTATTTCAATTTAACTCAACAGACCCAACCCCAGTAGTCCACTGACGTTCACCACTTCTTCGGACATAGCGTTCGGGGCCGGATACCCCCGTACTAGTTCTTCAGGTTCAGGAGTAGATGTCTTACTCGTAGTAAAGTACGTGATGTCCAGTCCTCTGTGTTCTGCTGCTGCTGCCGCTCCGTCTAGGAGGAAGCGGGCTGTGGGTGTGACCCTGACAGGGTTGGAGGAGGCGCTCACTCAGGAACTGCTGCAATCAATTATCAACAATCCAGTCCTGTAAGTTATATCAGAAGTTCAATGTAAAACGGAGAATTCGTATATTTACAATAGTATGTGTTAATTATCAGGAATGACTCGTCAAAGAAATCAAAATGATAATTGTATTACTTTGTTTACAGACAGCAGAATATTGCTACTGCCATAGAGACCCAAGTTAATGCTGTGCTTGGTCAGACGGTCAACGTCACTGTCGACAGTGTTCAGTTAGTCACAACAACCACAACAACAACTACAACTCAAACTGTAAGTTTGTCCTACAACTCCAACTGAAAGTTTTTTTCATTGTCCTACAACCCGCACTACCTATAACACTCCTGCAGTAAATCTCCTTCGTGTCTCTACTACCATTGATGAGATCAGGTTTAATGTATCTACAAGCCAACATTTAATGTTTGTCGCGTTCCTACAACTGCTGTTGTGTTTACCTTGTCCCTATAACTCCAAGTATGTGCTGTTTTACTTAAAACAGAATCCGCTACACCCTACTGCTTCGTTCATAATACTACAAATGAGGTGTTTGCAAAAGTTCAAACTGTAGGTTTTCGCTATGTTCCTTCATCTTTTCTGTCTCTACAACTCGTATTGTTCATATTTATATAAAATATTTTGCATTTCCATTTGTCGATGTATTCGACGTATTGTTACTATAGAATATAACTGAAATACGTTTAGGTTACCTCACTATAACCCAGTCGACAGGTACTTGCCGTAGGTCGTTAGTTTATTATCCGGGAACTCCCGCTTTCCTCCACCACCAAAACCTGGCACGTTCTTAAATGACCATAGCTGTTAATAGGATGTAAAACACAAACAAACCAAACGCAACCTCACTATAAGGCAAGTAATTCAGTTGCAAGATACAATTTCATTCTTGATGCAGTGTTCTTAAAGTTACTAAAACTGGCTTATGGAACATATCCTATATTGAATTTTGCGTTTCCCGTTTTCAGACTCCCACCAGTACTGGACGAGGCACTAAAGTCTGGGTGATAGTAGTGGCAACAATCGGGGCTATTGTTGGAGTCATCATAATTGTCGTCGTCATCGTCGTCCTCTTGAAATTGTAAGTAATGCGTTACGCATTATCAACTAAGACAGTAGGACTATATTTGAACAAAGTTAGTATGGTCTTAATTTATGTTTTTATTATTTTCTAAGTGTTTGTAAGAAAATAATTACTTGAATTACAAAGAACGAAGCATCTATTTCAAAAACTGTTGGGTCTATGCAGAAGGCCAAAGATAACAAAGGTTTAATGTGTCGTATTTCACCTTATTTCTAAAAGAAAATGTCTTGAAATGTTTTATCTTGTCACTTTAAGTCAACATATATTGTATCTTGAGTTAGTCGTTTGTCTGATGTGTCCATGTTCACATGTTCTTCGACGTCTTTGTAACCCATAACTACTTATATAATTGTTATTAACCCATGTTTAGTGGTACCGATTTCGTTGTTATTAATCCACATTTAATTGTGATATTTTATTGTTTTTATCATTGTTTTATATTAATACTCCAAACAGCAGATATTTAGATAAATATTCCATCGCGAAGTAAAAATAGTATAATGATAACATGGATTTATGAAAGATTTCTCTGTGTTTTAGGAGTAAGAAGAACAAGGTTCAACCCAATGACCAAGAACATCTCGAAAACCAGCAGCAACAGGGACGAATATCACAACAGCGGCAGCAACAACAACAACAGCAACAACAGCAGCAGCAACAACAGCAACAACAACAGCAACAACAACAACAGCAGCAGCAGCAGCAGCGCTTGTCCCAGCTGCAGCTCCATCAGCATCAGTAGTATGTCGGTGTTATGGGCGATGTGATATCTCTATGTGCTATCTGTGATCAAACCTTTTATAAATGTTGCATATATTGTATATAAACAGACTTTATACAATCGTGACGTGTTTCAAATATCAAAATATCAATTTCTAATATATAGTAGTATGGGATTTCACCATATACAGGTGAGTCGTATCTGGGTTTTGTTTATTCCAAATTGTCATTGAAAACTAATGATTTTGTAACCTGATTTTACATCACATTCCACTTATAATTGGACAGAACAAAGTCGGAGTCTTTGCATATTTCCAAGATTCTCGAGTACGAAAATCAAACAAAATGTTCAATGGAACAAAGCCTGACAAAAGAGGAAACAGACAGCACCGTCTTGAAAAGTTTGACGCATGTAAAAATTATGTTATATTCAACAGGTTATATTTTGAAGATCGAACGTCAAAAAGAATGGGTACATATGTGATGAAGGATCATCAGACAGTGTTTCTAAATGAAACATTGGGCTCCAATAGAGGAGAAGACCTCATTGATCAAAACACTTGATATAATTTGACCATATTCTTGTAAGCGAATACATCCTCTATTAGCGACACTGAAAGAGTTTACATAAGAGGTTAATCAAAATCAAAATGGATTACATTTTTAATTGACTGAGAAATTGTTCATCCTGGGTACATGATCATAGTGTTTGAAAAGAAACATCTTAGACCATGTGACTTATGTTTTATTATGCTAGAAATATGTAGTATATACGATGATATCATTTCATCAAAATTATATTTTTACGATATAAGCAACAAACATAACATTGTTATTGATCTTTGCATTAAAGTGTGATTGTTTATAAGTATATACCCGTCAAACTAGTTATTATGTATATAAGTAAAATATAACTATTTCTGATCTTGTTAAGAATTATTTTCCGTCCAAGTCCAAGAGTGTTTTCATTGTCTGATAGTAAACGGCAGACATTATTTCCGTCCATAGAAAGTTATGTTTTTGCCTTACAATGATGACATATCATTGTGTTATTCGTGTATATTATTTTTTCTGACAATATTTATAACTAGAAGGTCTGTTATATCTGACACACAGATGTGAGATTAATCCTTTCACATCTATGCAACTTAAGTAGACTCTCCCATGCATTGATCTTGATGAGTCCATTATGGTCTACAGTGGTGAAAGGGTTAAAACCATGATATCAATATTTTAAAAGGATGTTCTAGGTTGGCAAGAAATTTCAGAATATGTTATTGTAAAAGTTACATATAAAATGAGTAATTACAAAACGGATTGACACAGATCGATTTATCTATAAGTATATTTAGTATGAGGCGTATTTTTGTGTGAATTGTCATGATATAACGTAGAAGATGTATTGCTATATTAACATGAACTTATTTGGATTTTTTAACTGTTATTTGTTTATATCAATAGTTATATAAGATGTTAATTGATCGGGTTGGTACACACAAGTGAGTTACATTGCAGGTGTTTGACATATCGATTGCTACTGACAGTAATACTTAAAACACAGTTCAAACTTGATGGAAAAGTTCATATTTTCAAAACAAAAGAAACATGTTTAAGAAATGTCGCAGGAAAACACAAAATAATGATACAAACAATTATCAAAATATATTTTATTGAAAAATATTCAAATATTTTAGGCAAATAAATAATGGTATTCTGTGAACCATGATAAGACGCGCACCTGAAATGCAAGACTAACATAGGCATACCATGTAAATATCATGAAGGGCAAAAAATGTACATATTAGGTTAGAAAATAAAATGTACAAATAATCTAGAGCATGCAATGTAATATTATGCAGAGATGTTATACGCTTGTTATTTATGTGTATTGTATATTGACAAATTGCATATTCACGTGCAAAGAATAAATCTATTATCATATGGTTTATATTCGTCAAAAGCGTCATAGGTATCGCCTTGACTTTCGACCATATGTTAAAACGCTAGGATATGGTTTTATGGTTTCCTTCAAATAACGTGTCTATATATATATATATATATATATCAAGCCTCGCTATACATTGAACACATGCAAACAAACAATGATTGAAGGACTTTACATTGTTTAACTTGAAGTTCTTATTAAGAGGATACAACAGCTAGTATTGGTGCAATTATTTATAATATTATTGGTTAGCTTACGTATGTCTTTATATATGCTATCTTATCAGAACATGTTTCTCAAAGTGCAAATAGTGTCCAAGCGGAGAAAAAACCATCAGACTTGTGCGCAGTCGCATTTGACAAGTACTGAAGAACATTTACCTAACACAGGGTCACATGACGTGTACAAATGATATCACTCACATAGCTAGGATTATACAAGAAAGATAACTCTTACCCAATTCATATGACTTTCATATAAACTAGCGAGTATCCTGACACGTAGAGGCGAAGATGATCTATGGTAGCCCTTACACAGGGTGTTTCCTTGAATACTAGCTAACAAGTTCGATGAGTGTGGTATCATTGTTTTTCTCAGTTATGATGAACCCGAAATATTATTACAGGATAGGAAGATATCATTTGCTCTTTTTTTTCTGTTGCATTGCTCCTTGACACTTTTTGAAGTAGTTGAGCGATATTTCTTACGTGGCACAAACGCAAACTTGGAATTCAATGATAATTTCACTTCATGTAGAAATACCACAGTTTTATAAGTATTGTATTCCCTAACCATTTAAAGATTATGTTTTGAAACTTGGAGTGACTGTCATATTGCATACTAGTGTCTTTAAATGTATAAAATGTCATTACGTACATACAATTGTAAATAGAGCACGCGTGGTTGATTGATATATCTGCAAAATGTGTCTTCATGTAATAAATCAGATCTTCATTTTTTTCGAAGGTAACATGAAACATTTTGTCCGAAGCGAAACAAAAGGTTGGAAATGCCAAAAATTGTCAAAACGACGTTTTATATTCCTTGTATTTTTAAATTTAAATTTTTCTCATCAAACGATTTTTCAATAGAGCGTCCTTTGACGAAGGCTGAAACAGTAACTTAGAATCTTTTCATTTACTATAATCTAAACATTTTGTTTGTACAGTAGCCCCTTGTTAAAGTAGTGAATATTCTTGTTAGTGCGAATACATAGGATATATATATATATATATAAATAAATGGGTCAAAGTAGTAATATAGAGGGTAAAATCCCATATAACACTGGATCCTAATGGAGGTATGTCCGTAGGATACGAATTACTTAAAATAGTATATGGGGGTAAAGTCATTCCAACAGCGTGGACAAGTTTTGGTTGTCAAATTTTCGGAGCGATCCACTCCTTTATCAAGACACAGTGAAACAGAACAGTTACATGTACATATACATCATATTACAAGAAGATAGAACTGTATATATAAATATAAATATATTGTTATTGTGTGTTGGAAAATAGTCCCAAAAGAGACTGTGATAGTTAAAATAATGCCAGAAATAGTTTGTTTTGTTATTCATACTGGCGAAATTTTTTAAACAATCATTAATTACGTCACATGTGTTATTAACAGGTAAAAGTATTGAAGACATATCAATATTTACGCGTGTTTTCCCCTCACTGTTGTAAGTTTGTTTTATGATTGCCTTATATCATGTTAGTACCTGTGATTTTCGAAAACGTATTAAATTGTTATTATTTTCATGTCAGCATGAAAATCAAAAGACTTAAGAAAATGTAAATATTTACAAAAAGTAATGACAATGCAAAAATAAGTTCAAAGTAATGTTTTTCTTTTATTAAATGTGACTTGCATACATATACAAATAAAAACCATGTACCACATACAGAACCAATTAAAACTATACGTTTTGACCCTGTGTTAACCTATAAACAAATGTGATGAAAATGTAACCCTGATTCTATAGCGTGGTGATTCATTTTATACAAATAAATTCTATCGAATTATATGGTGTTTGCTATTTTTATTAATACGATGTAATAGCATAACATATCTCACTTATCAAATTGTCAAATGTAACTTCTGTTGTTCTATATTTCATTCTTTCTTTTGAACATGCTTTAGTAGAGTCAAATAATTCGTCAGGAAATATTTTGCAGCTTCAATTTAGATAAAATAAATTGAAAAATTCCAGTTTTCGGAAAGGTCGTGGGGGTATTCCACTGATTATTACTGTCAGTCAAGAAAACTAAAAATACAACACGTCCTGAAAACGAAAGACTACTTCAAAAACAACCAGTTACAAAGTGGGTGTCATTTTTATGTGAAACCTCGTAGCAGATTCAGGAAAATTAGGCGTGTTTGCATTCGTTATTCAATGATTTTCATTAAATGTTGCTAATTTTGCTAAAGTAAACAGACAGCATTCATACGGAAAACTCTACGAAGCATTATATTCGTATACACAAGAAATTCACAACTTAATGAATTATACATGCCATTCCAAAGGACAAAAATCTCGCCGGGGTCGCTGGCCAACAGGTAAAAGTCGCCAATGCCGAAGAAATAAATGGATGTGTAATACACGGTAGAAGAAAAAGCAAGGATCGGTAATAAGTCATTATCATGATACAGTTTATCAATTAGAAACATTACAAAGAGTGAAAAAGAAATTCTACTTGAGTGATCCGATAAATCGACTTCAAAACAATTTCTTACTTAATCAAACGAAAGGTATTTTAATATAGTATAACCTTTGAACTGATAATGTGGGCGGATTTGTCAAGTGGTTAACACTCCGGCCTTCCACGCAGGCGGCCGGGGATCGATCCCCGAAGTCGTCGTCCGCATAGATATTCAGAGAAAAGTGTTGTTCTCCTTCCCACGCAACTCCAACAACCCAGGTGGAGTATAAAATGGTCTGGGTGGATGTTGCAGTATCTGTGCTGTAGCATTCAAGTGAGGTGGCACTATAAATGATGCCGTTGGAAGCACGGTCCCACTACAAACAGAACACGTTACATCTCTAGCACACACGCAGGCATACACATATAAGGAGATATTATCCAATTGGCATAGGACTATTATTAAGCGACTGATAAGGCAGCTGTTTCCAAATTCCTCAAAATTGTATTGATTAATGTATACGCTAATTGTATTACTTGTATATATATGTACTGTAAAGCGCTTTCGAGTGGCTTATATTAGCTAGATAGGGCGATATATCAAATTATTATTATTAATGTCCGATTATGTGCGGGGAAATATTCGCTTACCTTGTAGCTACGGTACGCTGCATGAACTTGATCGGTATATTGAAATTAGGGAAGAATTGTATATCTATCTTGTAGGAACAATTTATATGCATCCCGGATGTAAATGAGTGTCTTATCATCACGACCTACCCTTAGCAGTGAATAGCCCTCCCCTATCTTTATACCCAATAAGACATGTTTATCATACCCTTCCTCAGGTAAACACTTCAGGGTCTGAATTTCGTCAAACTCTTTGTGGTATTACCTGTCTGTGACCATATTTTATCGGCTGTATCCAATTACATTTATTGCCGAAGTGACCTCGATAACAGGCGACATTGTTATCAGGCGAAGGTAACGTGGGTGGACCTAGCCAGTGTCGGAGGTAAGTAGATCAGGCGGAGATAGATGAATACTGTAGTGAAAACAAAATTAATACTCAGAATATACATAATCTTAATATGTATCCTATGATATAAAACATTTAAGATCTCCAGACACGAAAGTGTAAAAAGAATATAAAATAGAGAAAACTTAAAAAACTGAAACGGAGAACGAGATTTT